GTGCCAGGTCATATTTTATAACAAAATCCCTGATATGTAAATGTAACTGCATTTAAGAATTATTTGTAGTAATGGGGCGCCTGGGTGGCGCAGTCGGTTAAGCGTCCGACTTCAGCCAGGTCACGATCTCGCGGTCCGTGAGTTCGAGCCCCGCATCAGGCTCTGGGCTGATGGCTCAGAGCCTGGAGCCTGTTTCACACTCTGTGTCTCCCTCTCTCTCTGCCCCTCCCCCGTTCATGCTCTGTCTCTCTCTGTCCCAAAAATAAAATAAACGTTGAAAAAAAAAATTAAAAAAAAAAAGAATTATTTGTAGTAATGAATTTGTGGAAATGTAATGAGAAAAAGAAAATGTGCTTGTTTATTCCTTTCAGGAAATTCCTCTATTCCCCCCTGGTTTTCATCAGCTATATTTTTGGCAGGCTGTGGGCATGGAAATGTGAAGACATCACTCTCAAAGAGAATTAGAATAATCACATCTGATTTATACAGATGTCACCATAGGGTTAGGCAGTTGGAAAATCCAGCAATTCAAATGAATAGGAACTTAAAATTAAGGACATGCCATACTTTTACTAACACTCTGGCTTTGAACATTATCAGTAGTGCACAGGAGATTCTTTTCAGACTTCGAAAGTAGTCATAATGGCAAGACAGATTTCCATCTTACAAGATGAGATCTAAAGCAAGCTAGAGACACTGGTATACTTCCTGTGGATCCATTTTAAAGATTTAATTCATTTGGATTTCTTGAGCATATACTTACTATGTGTGCAAGACAGCAAGAATACTGAAGAAATAAAAGACATTATGTCTGGCCTCAAAGAATGTATGGTACCGTTGGGGTGTGTTGGAGTGGCCTTATAGGGGTTCAGTTGAGAACTACAGAGTAGGTAGGATTCCTCAGCAGGTCAAGAGAAGAGCGTGAGTCAAAGTTAAGAGTTAGAAAAGAGAATGAGTGGTATGTCTAACAGACTGTTAGGAGGCTAGTCTGGGCAGATAAAGGTAGCATGTCTGAAAGTGGTAGCGGGGAAAGATAGATGGGCAGCACAGGAACCAAGTGGTACAAGACTTTGAATAAGCAGTTGAGATCTGTCATCAATACAGAGCCACTAAAACCTGACTTCTTTTTAGAAAGCCAACACTTACTAATGCAATAACATTGATCTTTTCTAAGGGGAGAAACTCGTGACAATGAAAACTCTAATACGTGAAGCATTTTTATAGTAAATGAAAAGAAGTAATGGAGAAAATAATTACTCTGATAGGCCTTACTATTGTAATAACTGCCACAAACAAAATTATTCTTTGAAATTGAAGAATTTAATTGAACCACTAGTAAGTAGCCTTCTGAAGGACACATAGTTAGAATGGACAACTAAATATGGATAATAAACCAGACTAAGTATCCCAAACCCTCTAATTCATTTTGAGTACATGTTAGGAAGACAGGCTGGCCTCTGGTTATTCTGACCTTTCATCTTATAACATAACAGTTTGTTTATTCTTTACCAAACAAATAAATACTAGAGACCACTAATCCAACTCGGGGAGGTTAGTACAAAAAAGGGTGGTTATAAAGGCCAAAAATGAAGCTCCAGAACCAAAAAGTACAAATAAAGAGCAATTATGGGTGCCTGGGTGGCTCAGTCAGTTAAGCATCTGACTTTGGCTCAGGTCATGATCTGGCAGTTCTTGAGCTCAAGCCCTGCGTCAGGCTCTGTGCTGACATCTCAGAGCCTGGAGCCTGCTTCGGAATCTGTGTCTCCCTCTCTCTCTGCCCATCCCCCACTTGTGCTCTTTCTCTGTCTCTTAAAAATGAAAAAACGTTAAAGAAAAAACCAAATAAATAGCAATTCACTTACTGGCCAGAACGTAAAACCCCTAGATATATATATACTATCATCCTTTCCACTTCTCCTGTAGGACTCTCGTGCTCCCCTCAGGGTCAGCAGAGTATGCCCAAGCCCATCTCCCCCGTAGCTTCTGACAACCAGCTTTCTCCTTTCTCCTTGGGGAAGAATCCAGCAGATTAAGAAGATAATCCTAAATGCTTTTCTAACTTAAAATGAACCTAAGAAGTGAGTATATGTGACACTAAAAGTCAGGCTTCCTCTCTGCTTAATGTGGAGAACTAATAGCCTTTTATACTTGGACACCAAACCAGAGTGATCCCCACACATCCAACACACACACACACACACACACACACACACACACGTGTGCGTGCACACACACACGCACGCACATACCACCTCTCCCTCCCCAAAGTCCAAGATGTTCCAAAGAACATAACAAACCACACGGTTGGGAATGATTCATATGTTTCCACTCTCGGTCCAAACATGAGCAAAAGAAGTTTCCACTTAATTTATAATCAGAATTTTCTGCACATTTCCTAAAAAAATTAAAGGGGAACAATTCAAAATCTGGCCATTCTTTCTCCAAAACTTTCTGATTAGTTACAGACTAAAGTATCTTTTTGGTAAAATACTTTTGTGCTCCATCCCAGCCTGGAGACTAAGTGCCATAGCTGCATGGTGCCAAGTATCTAATCAGTCAGCCAATGTTTTCATCTTTTCGGATGTTTTCAAAAAGCTGGGGTTCTGCAGATACAGGCTTATTCTCTCCAGTCTTTTGTTATCTCAACCATACATATGGATACAGATTTTTCTGTTTGGAGTATTTCTCAAGGCCAATGCCTTATTATAGTTCCAACACCTGCAAATATTTGGCAGAGACTGTTCCATCCATATCCTCCACTCTTCCTGCAACCCCACCCCCATCCCTTACCATTATGAGGCTGTAAGTTTATACAGTATGTCCTTCCCCCTCCCCCAGTGCTGTTAATCATTATCTGTGACCCATGAAGTGTTCAATTGCCAGAGCATAAAGGTAAGTTTTCAAATCACATTTCATGGGCAAAACTTAGGTCCAAAACAAAGGCAGCATGCCACAGTAGAAAGGATACTAAGGTCAGAGTCTAGAAGCTGAGTTCCAGTTCCAATTCTGTGACTTTGACCAAATCACTTAGTCTATCAAAGTCTTAGTTTACACCACATTAAAGTGGAAGGCTTCAGCTAGACCAAGAGTAAGGCCTAGCATCTTAGGATTCTAAGAACTGAAGTCAATGAGATTATTCCTCTCTGCAGCTTTGGAATGAGAATATCATTCTCATTGAGTGAAATCAACAAACACTGAGCTTTGTGCAAATTTGTAAATATTAGATATAAATAAAAATCAAAAAAGGCACAAACCATTGTCAAAGTGACTACTCTCGATATTACCTGCAACAAATTACAGAAGGGAAAAGATATCCTGTTCTGAGTATTGCTACTTTCACCAACTTCATAAAATTTGTACCAATTTTTTTAAGTTTATTTATTTATTTTGAGAAAGAGAAAGAGAGTGAGAGGGTGGGGCAGAGAGAGAATCCCAAGCGGGCTCTGTGCTGACAGCAGGGCTCGAACTCATGAACCAGAGACCATGACCTGAGGTGAAATCAAGAGTCGGACTCTTAACCAACTGAGGCACTCAGGCGCCCCCCTTCATAAACTTTTTATGAAGTTTTTATGAAGTCAAGTTACCCTGACTTTTTCAGAGCATCACAAGAGGAAAATCTCTGCTTCCTTCTTGCCCTCCTTCCATCCTATCTGGGTCTTCCTTCCAAACTGGCTTATATATCCAGTCTCTTTTGGGGTAGTAATTTTATCAGTCATTTAAACATTTTGCTTTTCTGGAATTTCTGCTAAATAGCTCCCTTCTTAAGAGAAGTTAAACCACACAGCAGGCAGGTAATGGGAATAAGACAATTGGCCGGGGTTGGGGGGGTGATGCACCTGGGTCGCTCAGTTGGTTAAGTGTCCGACTTCAGCTCAGGTAATGACCTCATGGTTCATGAGTTTGAGCCCTGTGTGGGGCTCTGTGCTGACAGTTCAGAGCCTGGAGCCTGCTTCAGATTCTGTATCTCCCTCTCTCTCTGCCCCTCTCCCACTTGCTCTCTCTCAAAAATAAATAAACATTAAAAATTAAAAAAAAAAAAGACAATTGGCCAGAGCTGACATTTGTTAACATCAATGTGAAGTAGTAAGGTTTTACAAAATAGGCACTGAGACCTGCACATAAATATCATGTGGCACAACCACTTCAGAAAACTCTGTCCACTGAATGCAAATGAAAGACTAGGAACTTCCAAGGCGGGGAATGCAACCAAGTGGTTCAGTCTGCAACCCACAAAAATGAACAGTGGCACAAAATCTGGTACTGGATTAAATATTTATTGCCTTCGGCTTAAATTTTTAGGTCTGATACTTGATTATCCTTCCTGATTTCGTGGTAAACTGAGGTTCCTTTTTGTCCGTTTGTGTGTTTTGTTTTGGATTTTTTTAAGGCAGGCTTAGAATTAGCCCCCTGTTAAGGGCTTGATGGCAATTTGTTGCAAGCGGCCGATGCCAAACATTTGTTGCTTTACTGTACTGAGCGTGCAAACACATACACAGCTGTCATCCACAAAAATCTCTCACCTCCATATAAATACACTCAGACACCTCCACCCACACCTCCACAGACACACACCCAACCTTCCCGCTGCTAGACCCATACACATGCATATCAGCACATATGCTAATTACAGCACACCTACATAGGTACTCACATACTTAAAAGAAGAGGTGGAAAGATCATGATATGTAGTGTGCAATATGTCACTGACAAAGGAGAGAGGGCATTGTGTCTCTGGACAGACTACTGGTGTGGCAGGCCAGGGGCTAACCCTTCCAGAACTGGCCAGAGGTGAATAAATGCAAGGAGGTTTATGCAACAGACGAAACAGGTTCCAGTGAGAGCTTGCAAGTGAGCAGAGGCTATTCCTCACAAGAACAACTTGGAGTGAATTTACTTGTCATATAGGAAAAGTGGACCTAGCTTTATTAGGGAGCTTGCTAACTGTACAACTGTGTGTAAAGAGACCAAGTTGGGTAAGGGATATGTCCCAGATCCCTTACCTTGAGTTTCTCAAATCGGTCATTCAGGGACGCGACCTGATGGTCTCGGTGACGTCCCACCAGTTTGCATAAGGCACAGATCAATTGGTCATCAGATACACAATACATGTTCACTTTCTCATTTTCATGGTCCAGGCAGGTGATCCCTCGAAGATGTGTGTCTGGCACTGGTTCCACCAGGCGGTGGCTGGTGAAAGGTTTCTTGTTGGGGTGTGTGGCCCGCAGGCAACGGTCACAGTAGGAGACCTCACAGGTGATGCATGTTTTCACTGCATCCCTTGGCGGGTCCTGCTCACAGAACTGGCAAGCAATTCGCTCACTAGACATGGCAGTGCTGGGCCTGTAAGTCCTCTCCCGGCGGCTCTCACTTGGGGAATTGGGCCCACTGACGGAAGCCTTCTGAAAGCGATCGATAATGTTCTGCAGAGTCACATTCCTCTTGAGGCCGTCCAGGCCCCGGTGGTTCAGCGAGATAACATACCTGCACGTTGGACACTGAAAAGCGGTAATGGGTTCAATGGATTCACCAGAGCCGCAGCTCGAGACCAAGATTCGATGGGCACAGCTGAAGCAGAGGCTATGAGCACAAGGGAGAAGAAGGGGGTCTTCAAACAACTCTAGGCAGATTGGACAGGTCAATTCAGACTCCAGTGTTTCCATCTTTAGTGAAAATAATCCTGCTGAGGCATTAAGAACCACAGAGGCTGGGCTTTCACCTGCAAGGAATACAATGCAAGAGTCACTAAGTATTTCCAAAGGAAAAGTGGTTGCAGCATAATTATACACTAACCAATGGAGGCTTTACATGCTAGATTCCTCAGTGATGCTGGAGCAATAGCAATGCAATCTGGGCGTTAATCAAAAAGCCTTTCTCCCCTTCACACCTTGTGGTTGACAAATGCTTGAGTTTATTTTCCTGCACTAATAAGAGAACCAAGTGGCCACCTCGGAGTCCTGGTTTACTGGTCGACATTACTATTCCAGCTCATAATACTGGCCCATGCCAGTCACATATTATCCACTGAAATCTCTTGTCCTGGACTATGATGAGTCTGTGCAAAATTCTCAATCTCCATTCTCCAATATTGGTCTGTATTTTACTTCAAGGTAAAATATAGGGGCTGCACCTATTTCACCTCTAGTGGAAGGAAAATCAGGTCATATTTCAAGCTAACACTCTGGCTTTTGAAGTGACTCCATTCTGAGAGCCTGTGTAAAAAACAAGAGTGAGCTGCAGAAGAATGTACTTCTTGGTGCAGAATAATAAGTTCTTCAGAGTGTGAACTTTAATTACTTCCTGTTACCATTCATGGAAATTCCTGTTCTATCCCATTTCTAGTAAACTGAGTTACTAGAAACAAATGATGCTAGTATCCACTTCCTTCCCTCACCTCCAGAAAACCCTTCATCTCATCAAGCTCCATGAGAAATGATTTCAACCGTTAAATTTACTCAGCAATAGTTGCTGATCAATACTGACAACATATCACCTTGTGGTTTCAGCTGGATTTTATTATAAGACACCCACTGAATTAGCACAAACCTACTATGGAACTCACCTCCCCATGTGTCTTAAAATGTAACAAGATGCAAATCAACATCCAGATATAAATTAGCAAGGTGAGGAGCCAGAAATTTTCAGACCTGGTAGTCTTCATTCTGGTACATGTTTTGGAGAGTAAAAGAAGTCATCCAATTAACATGAAACTAATCTCTTGGCCAACCTATCTCTTCTGCCACAGATATTTCTGAGCTGAACATACAGATACTGCCACGGTCTTCTGTTAAATAAAACCAACACAGAGAAATGTTCTAACCTAGCCTTAACTAAGGACAAAACTATCTGACAAAAAATGTTAATCCTATTTATAGAAAAAGAAAAACATCATTTGCTTTTGAATAACTTTTGTTCATCATCTTACTAGCACTGGAGACCCTCACCAGGGCTTGAAAATTTTGATTCTGCCACTGATATTTGTTCAGATTTTGTCAATCAGTGACCTCTGCCTAGCCTTCTCACAGGATACTTAAGCGCTGAGTACAATTATACCTTGTGAATAAGTACAGTAGATGCATCCCTAAAAGCTGTTTCTAAATCAAACCTTTTAAGTGCACGAAGATAACTAGCTATTTAAGGGAAATCTAAAGGAAACTGGGCTGTAGAAGTAGAAAGTCTTTTTGTAAAATAGCCATTCTCAGTTGGTCTGGAAAGTTCAGATGTTTGGATAACCACTTTCTTAAAATGTGAGACATGTGATATTCTTATTTTATAATTCACAGGTGCTTCAAAATTGTTGGCTGGCAATACGTAGCTTATATTATCTATCAGCTTTCACCTATAGAGATGAAAAAGTAAACCAATTACAATGTGCATATATCACAGAACCTTAAAATTGGAAGAGACTTTAGTTAGAGATGATGGATTCCAACTTTTGTTCCAGGCAGGAATACTGCCTTTGATAGCCCCACTGATCAAATTCAACATGTCCATAAGTGAATTTTTTATTCTCCCCAACCCCCCCCCCAAAAAAACCCCCAAAACACCTGCTCTTCTTCCAATTTTCCCTATGGGATGAATATCACTATCCAAGCCTGGAAACCTAGGGGTCTTTTCATTTATATGGTTATCATGTAAATGATAATGACATGGTTATCACCACAACCACTGGTGGCTTCCAGAACATTCTGTTTTATTTCATTTACATATCTGTCTCCAGCTAACTCCCTCTGCTCCTTGAGGGCATCAACTATTTCATATTTTTTTTTCATAGCATGGTGCCTCATACATGCTAGGTATTCAATAATTGTTAAATGAAAGATCCCTTAAAAGTACAAGTTGGAAGAAAGGACCTAGCATTTATTGAGCACCTCTTGTATTCTGAGTACTGTTAAGCACTTTACACACATTATTTCATTAAATTCTATCAAGAAGCCTGTGAGAAGGGGCATTTAGGTGGCTCAGTTAGTTAAGCGTCTGACTCTGGATTTCGGCTCAGGTCATGATCTCATGGTTTGTGAGATCGAGCCCCACATTTGGCTCCCCACTGAATGCAGTGCATGCTTGGGGTTCTCTCTCTCTCCCTCCCTCCCTTTGCTCCTCCCCTGCTCGCTCGCTCTCTCTCTCTCAAAATAAATAAATAAAACTTTAAAAAAGAGAGAGAGAGAGAGAATCCTGTAAGGAAGGTACTACCATGCCCCTATTATAGTTAGGAAATTGGGGCTCAGCATTGTTAAGTAAATCAACCAGGAATTATACATACCCACAGCATTGGGTCAGTCTAATGCCAGCGCCTGTGCTCTTTCCCCTACACCTTTATTTCAATCATCCCACCTCCTTCACTGAAGTTTATCTTGACTATTTACAAGAGTGTTTCTAAACAGCATGTTTCCACTTCTATTTTTGTCTCTCTGTGTCCCCCCCCCCCAGTTTCTCTGATTCTTCCTCTTATTCCAAGTCCCCTCCAGAATCATATCTTTTCCTTCTAGGCCCAACTCCACTTCACACTGCATTTCTATTACTACCTCTTCCAGAACTGGATGTCTGCATTCTTTAACATCTGCATTGAAAGCTACCTGGGAGAATTGAGTAAGCCTCCCTCCAAAATGACAGTTGGTCAGGGGCGTCTGGGTGGCTCAGTTGGTTAAGTCCGACTTTGGCTTAGGTCATGATCTCATGGTTCATGAGTTCG